GAAGAAGAAGAAGAAGAAGAAGAAGAAGAAGAAGAAGAAGAAGAAGAAGAAGAAGAAGAAGAAGAAGAAGAAAAGAAACCAAGAAACCAAAACCCCATACCATCTCATTGCTATCCAGGGAGCTCTGGTGGCCTAGTGGTAAGGAGCTGTGCTGCCAACCCAAAGGCATGAGGTTCGAAACCACCAGCTGCTCCATAGCAGAAAGATGGGCAACCTCCTCCCCTACAATTTCCTACCTCTGGAAACCTGCTGGAGGATCAGCTATGAGTCAGTTCTGACACAGTGTTACACAACAACATTACCATCCAGTCAGAACTGAATCTGGAAATCATAGAGGAGGAGATTGCCCTTCATTCTCTCTTGGAGCACCTGGTGAATTTGGACCACTTATCTTTGAGTTGGCAGCACAATTCCCTATCTGTTAGGCCACCAGAGCTCCAGGGATGAGATCAGGCAAGTGGTAACTTTTATTCATCCATTCATTAATTCATTGACCATCTTTGTGCTTAGCACTGTGTGAGGCATAGACCCTGCCTTTAGACAAAGGTTAAATAATCTCATGTGCACTGTGTGGTTACAGTTACACTAAGTGCAATGAAAAGACCATATATAACAGGAAGAACCCATTCAGGCCCCAGTAATAATCTGTGCTAAAGCTTAGATTCTCTGATTTCATATAACCTTTGGACTGCACAGCTGATACCAAGCTCTTCTTTCTTAAAACTTATTTAATTTGATGATTTTGTGTGTGTGTACCGTCAAATTGGTTCTGACTGGTACAGGAGGAGACTACCCCTCCTTCTCCCACAGAGGATCTGGTGGTTTCGAACAGCACACTTCTGGGACTGCAGTTCAGCTTCTTGCCACTAGGCCATCAGAACACCCTAAGTTAATCATTGGTCTTTCACACCTAAGGGTCTGAGCATAGAGAATGATAGTTTTGGAGGTAAGAATTAGCCTTTCAGCAGTGTTACTCAGTTGGGAATGCACCTTAGTATGATACTAAAGAGAAGACTGTTGGGAGGAGAACTAGTATTTACTAAGCACCTTAGTATAAGGGTATTTATCTGTATACCTTACACTATAAATATACTATCTATTTATTGTTTAGTAATAAGTAAATATAGCATTTATATTTTGCTAATATAACAAATATATTGTACTGTTGTATGCACAACAGAATACATTTAGATAACAGAAACGGCAAAGGAGGTTGAGTTTTCAAGTACGGAAATACAAAGGAAGAGGAACAGTTGTAAGCAGACACTGGTGATTGGG